TAATATTAATTAAATTATAATATTTTATGTTGTATTTATTGCATTATGTTATATTATTATTGAAGTAACAAAGTAAACGGCCCATTATCTCATTCTTCTTATCTAATGATTTAATTTGCTTATTAAAAGTTTATATTGATTAATTTTTTTAGTCTACAATTCCTGTTGGGAATATTATATAGAGCTACTTTTTTTATATAATTTCCCATTCAACATTATTAGCTATATTATTTTGTTCTCTGAAATGATTACAAGATAAATCTTCCTCCAATCCCCTTCAGATTGAAAAACAAAAAATTTTTTGTTTTCAAATCATATATATATATATATATATATATAATATTTATCTTATAATCATTATAGAGAATATATAATATATATAATAATGTTGAATGGGTGTAATGGTAATGGTTAGCAAGTTTGTCTCGCTAGAACAATTACAACTGAATAGTGAGTTCGATCTACACTGGGTGCCCCATACATTCAGCCTTGTGCCACATCTAAGCTACGCTTGGAAAATCATATATATATATATATATATATATATATATATATATATATATATATATATAGATAATATTATTAAAATATACATACATATGAAAAATATATATAAAAATACCCATACATGTATATTTTCAGAAAAAAATTTTCCAAGTGAAAGAATCTAGGTAGAACTCAATGTCTAGGACAGAGTAAGTATATAATAAAAAGGCTTAAACACTAATATATATACCAAATGGCATGGTGTCTTTATGGATAAAAGTGCTCAATATCAGGCATAGTGCGGGTGCAAATATGAAAGAAGACACTGAAGTCAATTCCGAGTGGCGACAGTCTGTCTCATGTTTTAACGCCCTCTTCAGCTTGAACGCAATCTTCGGGCTTCAGAATTGCGTTATGGTATGAAACAGTAGACGAATGTTTGAGACAGGCTCCCCTAGCCGTTGTAAAACACTTCTCATAAGAAAAATCTATTAAAGTACTTTTCATTCTTACAGTAATTTGAAGAAGTTCGTTGGATCACGCCGATTCAGTTATAGGGCCAAATTTATCGCGCCAATTATGAGATAAGTTATAAATAACAATTTTTGGAAACTCCACGTTCGCAGTCATCATTTTTGGAATATTCTAGCGGAATATATCTTTGCTATTGAAATAGAAGATAAATCTGGCCCGTTCGAATCTCCATCGGGAATCCTAAATATGGATTCTCCTGAAATACAGAATAATCCTCCGGGTGCGCAAATACCCATAAGGAATTCTTACAAGTAAGAATATATATATATATATATATATATATATATATATATATATATATGTGTGTGTGTGTGTGTGTGTGTGTGTGTGTGTATCGCATTGATACGTTCTAGGAAGGTCTCTCATTCAGGTTCTCTCTGAATTTTTGCGGCAAACATGTGCTATAGTTTCTCTGCGTGGGACAAATGTAAATTTATGCATATAATTTTGTGTGCAAATTACCGGCGTAAAATTCTCTCTGCATGTTTGTTATTCTTTTTCTTTCAGATATTCCGTTATATCATGTATATAATAATGACCATAATGGAGAAAATGTAGACTGTAAGAATATTCCATTTTTCCATAGTTTACCGATCAACTGTTGATGTGATGTGTTGTTAGTACCCATTAAGATAAGGTAACCTATTCTGCTAATATATATATATATATATATATATATATATATATATATATATATATATATATAGTTTATGCAGAACTAGGTAATCTGTATGGGTTGACCTAAGGAGGATGATATCCGGAGAGTTCAATGTTAATTCAGAGCAAATATGTTTTAATAAAAACAGACCACTTTAAGGTTCCATGTAATTTTCAACCTTTGGAAGTAAAGTCTGATGATCCAGAGCCCTTTAAAATGACTGTGGTGAAATAATTTATTACATAGAACCTTAAAGTGGTCTGTTTTTATTTAAAACACACACATATATATATATATATATATATATATATATATATATATATATATATATATATATATATATATATATAGATCGGTAATGGTGACCCCAGGTCTCGGTATAGCAATGATACATTCCAGGAAGCTCTGTCATTCACGTTCGGTTCAAGACGCTCCTCACATACTTGGTATTTTATGCTATTGCGCATCCGATACAAATCCCAAGTACCATTGAATGAGTTTGTTGTAAAGGCTTCGGAGGAGAAATCAGAAGCGTATATTATGAATATATGTAGGATATATAGCGGTTAACTCTAAACTTGAAGATCGTAGCAGTTGAAGAAGAATCCTCACGGGAGTCTATTCCAAAATGTAACACATTTTTGAAGAAGCTATCTGGGTCGTACTTCCTCTTTACCAATAGTATACGAAGTGAATGGGGGTGATACTATCCTGTGTACGTATCATGGTGACTCCTAGCTGTGAAGGTCTGAACTAGTAAAACTAAGAAATGTAGCTCCTTTAAAATTTTGTAAGGAAAATAGCGAAAAATACAAAGACGTTAACCACGATTCGTCTGTAGGAAAGAAATTGCAGAGTGGAAAATAATTCATCAGCCACACGGCCGCGAAAACAGTTTTGAAACTTTTTGAATCCCGTCTTCACATTGCACATGCGGCGCAGTAAGCAATAACATAAGATGAGAAGATTTTTTATACTTCAAATTCTTTAGCCCGTTTCGCTCTTTGTCTGGTCTCCTTTTATGTGCCGTGTCCCTTCAGGACGTAGACGAACATGACTCTCCACATCTTCTTGTCCCTTGTAACTCTTAATAAAATTTGTTTTTTTTTATTTTCCCCAAACCCTGTTCTGCAATCCATTTACTCAAGCTCATATTTACGAACAGCTTTCCTTTGCCCCTCTTTCCCCTCAATCTGTCCCGTGAGTATCAGATTTTCCAAACCCTCCTTCCTCATTACGTGCCCCAGAAACCTCAACTGTCTCTCCCTGATGTTAAGTATAAATTTCCTCTTTGTTTCCATTCTCCCCAAAACCTCGTTGTTGCTCACATGTTCGGCCCATGGTATCCTCAGCATATTTCTGTAAAACCACATTTTCTTCAAGTCTCTTTTTCATTTGTGAGGAGATTGTCCAGCATTTGATACCATACAGGACAATGGATATCACGTAACATTTTGTCTGGCCAGAGATTCAAAAAATTCAGAAAATAGTAAAATTCCTTAAGAAATTGATTGAATCGTTACTGGATTTGTTCTTTTATCATGCAATATATGATTTTATCTAAAAAAAAAAAAAAAAAATTCACCAATATTCAAGAAAGATCGATACAAATGCAGAAGGACCTTTTCCTGTGTTTTATATATTACGCAAAAGCGTTCGATAAAGTATATCACAAAGATCTACTCAGCAACCTTGACATATTTGAGAAGGATATTAGAATAATCCAGAACCTATACTAGCAGCAAACCATCAGCATACGAATAGAAAATGAATCCAGTAAATATAGAAAAGTAAAAAATAGGATGTAAGGCAATTCATTCGGATTTATTCAACCGATACAGTGAGATGATTCTGAGAAAATAAAAACTCCTACCAAGATTCGTTATTGGCAGCCACAATCTTAACAACATAAGATATGCAGATGACACAGTGTTGATAGCAGACACGGAAAGAAAAGGACAAGAACTCCTACAGAAGGGAGTGAAGGAAAGCGAGAAGAAAGGATCAAGGCACTTCGAGGTGGTGCAATGGTTAGCGAGCATGTTTCGTTTGATCCATTACGGCTTAGTAGTGAGTTTGATCCTCACTTGGTGCTCACACTTTCGGCCTTGTGCCACATCTAAGCTACGATTAGAAAATTAATGAGATAAGAGAGAGGAGGAGGAACTTCCCGTCGGAGTAGATGCTGCGGTAGTAGAATATGTTCCGTGTGGGGAGGGGGCTTCTCTCTCCCCTCCCCAGCTGCGTGGACAAAATCCTCGGTCGTGTTCCGTAACATCTGTTCCATAGCGGTGGTATGACCGGCTATGACTAGCTTAGATAAGCCATGGTCAGCTTAGACAAGCTAAGATCAGCTTAGACCAGCGACCTGAGTGGAAACACTCTGGTCCCTACGTTAAAAACAGACCTTGTGTCACAACCTGGCCCACTGATGGTGGGAATCAATGTAAATCCCGCGAGAAGAAAGGATTAAACATCAACTGCAAAAAGACAGAATGCATGGTTCTTAGCAAAAGGATGAGCCCAAAATGTAAATTAAAACAGAAAATTTAAATATCTGGGAAAAGTGTTTTAACAGAGGACAGAAAGTACGACGCTGAAATCCGATGACGCCTTTCAAGTGCAGCAGAGTATTGAGGAAGAGAAAATCGTCATTAAAAACAGAGAGAACTGAACTGTAAAATGATATCAGTCCTCCGAGAAGACAGTGAATGCTGGACAATCTCCTCAAAATGAAGAAAAGACTTGAAGCAACAGAAATATGGTTCTACAGAGTGATGCTGTGGATATCATAGACTGAACATATGAACAACGACGAAGTTTTAGAGACAATAGAAACAAATAGGACACTTATATTTAACATCAGAAATAGACTGCTGCAATTTCAAGAGTACATAATGAGGAAAGATGATTTGGAAAGTCTGATACTCATAGGATAGTTTAAAGGCCCGGGAGACAGAGGAAAACAACGCTTAACCTACGGAGCGAGCTTCTGTTAATCGGTGGTAGAAATGTGTTGCGTAAATGGATGGCGGGTTTAGTAAAAATAACAAAAGGTATTAGGAGCTATAAAGGATAGGGATTTGTGGAGAGCTATAATCACCTATGCCCCAACGGGACAAGGCACATGAAGAAGAAGAAGAAATACGATATAATTTTTTCGGGATCTCAAATAAAAATCTCAGATCCACGTTTCTTCGATGTCTGGTGGCTCGTCTAAAGCAAACCTGCCAATACCTGTTCAAAGCAACTGTTTATACTCTTTGTAAATGTATTATATCCGCTATACAAATGAATCGTATTGTAGATAGGGCTTGGATAAATGTTATTATTTAAGCAATTTCTTTTCAATAAATTTGTTTATGTCACTGGTAATTTTTTTTTTTCTCTCTCCGACTTTTTTTTCAAAATTCGTTTTTTTTTTCTCTATTCTATCTTCGTGCTTAATGTTTTCTTATTTTTCTTTCTTTTTTTGTTCGTCTGTATTTTATCTTTGAGTTTTGGGGTGGTCAACTTATTTTTATCTTTCTCTTTTTACTTTCTTCCAAGATTTTTTTTCTTTTTATTTGTTTTGTTCTGCGATTTCATACATTTTTCCTTCGAGTTTTTTTTTTCTTACCTTCATTCAACCATCACAATTTTCTATAGTTCCTTCGTCCTTTCCTTCTTTTCGTTGCAATTTCTTAAAAGTTTTTCATTCTTTCTTTTATAAATTTATTTCATTTCTTTCTTTCATTCTCCCTTTGTTTTATTCAATCCTTCTTACTTTGATCATTTTTTCCATTATTTGTCATTTCTTTCTTTATCTGTTTCTTTCTTTCTTTCATATTTCTATCTTTCTTAATATCGTTCTTTCCTTTATTCACTCGTTTCCTTTCTTTCTTCCTTCTTTCCTACCACCTTTTCTTCCTTTTTCGTTCTTTCTTTTGTTCTTTCTTTCGTTCTTTCTTTCTTTCTTTCTTCTTCCTTTCTTTCTTTCCTACATTTTATTCTTTCACAGATATTTTTGTGGGGAGTGGAAATCTAAAATTCAATCATAATCGAATTAACAAAATCTTGGTAGATTTTGAAAATATGGGTATGTCTGTGCGGGTGTTTGTGTGTGCTTATGTGTATATGTGAGCACACATGTCTGTGCGTTTAATTTGTAAAATTAAAGGAAAAGAAGCAAGAAATAAACGCGAATATAAAAGAAATGAATGAAAAAGAAAGAGAAAGAAAAAAAAACGGTGACTGTCCTATTTCTCTTCCTAATCGACAGGTACTTTTCCCTCTACCCCCACCACTTCCCGTTCATCTCGCTTCTGTCTTTCTGTCTCAACATACATACATACATACATACATACATGCATACATACATACATACATACATACTGACGCGTCTGTGTACGTTTCTTTTTATTTATTTACGTTGTTTCGTGAGAATTGATCATTGAAGCCATTCTACCGGTTGGCTACGTATGTCTAGCTATTCGACTGCTGGGCCCGGCCTGCTTGTCTCTTTTACAGACAGCTTCAACAGACGGAAGCGAGGGCCAGCTGTCCAGATAGCAACGAGTCTGATTGTGCGAACGAACGGCTAACCAATCAAAAAGTGAGCCAACCGACCTACAGACCGGCCCACGTTCATGCGTGGATTATGTTACTGTACACCGGGTACAGCCCCGGTGCACTTGTCTGGCTAGCATGTAATACGAGCTGTCTCTTTCGTTCTTTTTTTTTTTTTTTTTTTTTGTTCTCCTTCTTTGCGTCTTTGTATTTTCTTTTCTTTTTTCAGTTTTATTTTTCCGTTTTGAAGTTTTTCATTCATTCTTTCAATGGTTATATGATTCATTGATTTCCTTCTTTCTTTTTGTATGGTTTTCATTTACCTTTCACGTTTTGTGAAAGTTATTCTTTTGATGTTTTTTTCGTCTGTTTATTTTTTCCCTCTTTATTTTTCCTTCCTTTCTTTCTATGTGTTCTCTCTATTTTTCTATCTTTACTTTTCTTCTTTTTCTTTCTTACATTTTTCTTTTTTCCTTTCTTTCATTTTTCTTCTGTCTTTCCTTCTTACTTGCTTAATCCAATCTTTTTATTACCATGCTCGCTTTTCCGTTTTTTCTTCCTTTCATTCTTTTTTTTTCTTTTTCTTCATTTTTCTCACTTTTTGTCTTTTTCTTTTTTCTTCTTCTCATATTTTTCTTTATTCTTTTCTTTCCATTACACATTATTTTTCTTTCAATATTCTTCCCTTTTTTTCTTTTACCCTTTTCAATTTTCTTACTTTATTTTTTATTTTTTCAATTTGTCTCCATTCTTCACTTATTTTTATTTTCTTTCTTTATTGAACATTTTTCTTAGTATTTTTCTTATTTTATTTTATTTCCTTCCAACTTGGCAAAGAAAAGACTTAAAAAATGCGGGCAAACTTTTGGCCACACATCAAACAGACCAAATCATTTGGAAAAATTGACAATGGAAAGAGCAGCTCATTCTACCATTGCCATTTATATTCTAATCCCTTCCTCTTCTTATGGTGGCGTTCCAACGTAAATGACGCGGCATTGAGTCAAATGGAGGATGAGATTTATGCTTTTCACAGGCAAGGGAAGTTTCCAGCTCGGAGACAAAGATTTTAGCACATTTAATGCACATTTTTTTTTATATACAGACATTAGATAGAAACAGTGAGGAGAGTGTGGACATCGTTACAATGCAATGTTGATTTCTATCAAGCCTTAAACCATCATACGATCATGATCTTTCAAGGCGAAAACCTCCAAGTCACCATGCAGTTAAACATTCCTATGTTCAAATTGTATCTAGAAATGTGTTTAGCGACATCGCAACACCTTATGGGTTATTTAATACCTAAATTTAATTTTCCTGGAATAATTCGTAATTTATTTTATAAACATACGTTGCTGGTAATTTTTGTTTTTCAAAAATGTATTGCTAGTAATCTCTTTTTCCAAAATTATATTGCTGTTAATTTTTTTTTATTATTTTATTTTATTATTTTTTTTTTTTTTTTTTTTTGGTAATCTTTTTACTATGAAAATGTATTGCTGGTATTTTTATTATAAAAATGTACTTTTATACTTTCATGGTGATCTGACTTCTTTTTTACCCCCAGTTCGAAACCTAACAGATGCTACTACTCCTCCGGTTCAGAGTTAAGCTGGGAACAACAGCAATTAAGAGGAAGTTTCATGATCAGAAGCCTTGCTGCCGGATGTAGTTTATCGTCATACCCGGAACGAATATCTAGAAATATTTTATCCCTGATCTTCAGCACTTTTCAGACATGGCCTGATAATAGCTTTGGCGTGAAATTAACAATGACCATGCAATGTTGATTTCGATGTCCACATTTTTCATATCTGAAAATGGTCTATCACCGATGCTAAGCACACCTTAAACATAAATATAGCAAATTTTAATCAATATATATTATGACGTATACAGGGTGTCCATAAAGTTTGTGTCCACTTTAAAAAAATTATAACTTTATTTGTATTTGCGATAGAAATAATCTGTAAAAAATGTTATAAAGTTTAATGTACCTAGTTTTAAGTATAGTTATTGAATAGTTCTTTACCACAAAATTTGCAACAATTTTTAGATAAGTAAAGAAAAATATTTTCTTTTTTCCAGAATCAATTTGATCCATGGCTTCAACTGAAGAAAAAGTAAACTGTGTCCTTTGGTTGGCTGAACTGAAATCTACTATTGCTGTAGAAAGAAAGTTTAGAATTGAATACAATAAAGAACCACTTCATAGGAACACTATTGCTAAATGGATGAAACAAATTTAAAGAGGCAGGCTCAATCCTTGATAAGCCACGAACTCCAAAATCATATTACCCTTTGTGTTGCTAATGATGGAGGATATGTGGAAACTTAAATAAAATTTCAATAAAACTTTAAAAAATATAGATTTACTTCTTTCTAATCCTTTTCACAAATTATTTCTATCGCAAATACAAATAAAGTTATAATTTTTTAAAGTGCACACGAACTTTATGGACACCTTGTATTTATGCTAAAAGAAATAGATTAAATATTTTTTTATGAAAATCAATCGATGATCTGTGTCAGTTTAACATTTTATTACATCTTCCAATTTGGTATCTGTCTATATTTCTGAGATGAGGTATTATGTACACTATTTACATTATTCGGACTGTTGTCCTCATCTTTGTTGCCATATTTATCACTGCGTTTCGGCCGATGTACGCTCCGGCCTTCTTCAGGTGGTTGGAATGTCGAACTGAATCCTTTATTTCGCTCACTAGGTAGACTGTTCAAGTTCCACGTGCCATTTTTAATGGATATCAGTTATCTCCTGTTAATTCCCCTCTCCAAGTTCTCCACTGCCTTAACCAGGTATTGAACTCACAACTCTTTGGGTCCTGTTACCGGATCTAAATAAAGGGTTCAGTTCGACATTACAACCACCTGAAGAAGGCCGCAGCTTACAACGACCGAAACGTTGTGATATATATGGCAACAAAGATGAGGATAATAGTCCGAATAATATAAATAATGATCTTCCAATTTACAGCCCAAATTCCATGATATTATTGCATGTGGTCTTTCGACCATCTCAACTCTTCATTTGAAATTATAATTGTCTCAGTAAGAAAAAGGCTTTATGAACATCATCCTGGCAATTTTTTTTTTTTTGTTTGTTTAAAAAACTAAAACAAAACATAATTTTAATGTAAATGTGTGTGTACCGAAGCAAATGACGTGTAGAACAGTTTGTTGATTATTCCACCTTTAACTTATAACATAAAAACGTTTTTGACAATGTCTGGGGATTGTCGAAAGACCTCAGACAAAATCATTGTTAACTTCTTAATCGTCTTCTTAAATGTAATCCGGATATGCGACAAGCCATACGCAAACCGAAAAGGAGAGTTAATAGAAAGTCCTTGTCGGTTGATTTCAATAAAACCTGTTTGTATACACACACACACACACACACAGATTATATATATATATATATATATATATATATATATATATATATATATATATATATATATATAGAGTGTGTTGAAACAAAATGGCTATTTTTTGTAGTGATTTTATAACATACTTATGTTATAATTTTTTATAAAATAATTATATATATATATATATATATAAATATGATGTCTATGTGTGTGTGTGTGTGTATGTGGCCTGATGATTGCGTCTTCATTCAAGCATGTTTGGCTGAATAATCTGGACATATTATGTCTATTTCGATTTTAATCCATTAAAATTCTCTGATTGACTTCTTAAGTAGCTTTTGTTCATTTCTCTTATTTTCCCAAGTACTTTCAATCTCATCCGAGATCATCTTCAGAAATGAATTACAATTATATAAATTAAAGTTACCTCCATCAGATATAAACATAAAAAAGCATAATACATTTAACAGTTAATTTTTAAATGAATTATAACTGGGCGCTTTTATACGTGTTTCAAATAATTTTAACAGAGAGCGTTTCATGCGTATTTACAAAAAAAATCACTACTATTAATTACATGATTTTTTTCTTAGCAATTCTTCCCTGAAGATGATCTCGGATGAGAGACTAGAAAATATTAGGGAAATAATATATATATATATATATATATATATATATATATATATATATATATATATATATCAGTGGCTTGTCGGGCTTAGCCAGAGTGAGTCAACATTCAAGTCTGTCTATTTCAAAGCAACAAAAATCTTTCGTTTCATTCTTGAGTTCAGCTGGATCCAAAAATTAATTGTTTTAACTCCGTGCCTAAAAATATTGAACGAAATACATTTCGTTGATATTGTTCATAAGAAAGAAAGAAAGAAAGAAAGAAAGAAAGAAAGAGAGAAAGAAAGAAAAATGAAATAAAATTAATGTGGCTAATGGGACTGCGTGGGTCTGAGACTGATCGAAGCTGGAGACGTACTTAATAAGCAATGTATTTCTTGCTTTGATTTTATAAATAATCTTTTTAAAAAGCTCTATTGACTTGTATGCCCTATCCTTCGGACAACACATTTTTATTTCAAATTATTTATTTCAAATGTCCATTTTAAACAATTTATTTTCAACAGTATAATTTATTTTTTAGTAGAATGTATCTTTTGAGAATGGCAAAATTAAATTTAGCCCGACAATAAATTCGGCGAAAATCGACTCGAGGGTTGGGTCACGTGTGTGACTAGGGTAGTGTTGAGGAAATATGATATCAATCAGCAGTACTGATCATAAACGTACAATAAAATTTATAAACAGAAAGATACATAAAGACACTAACGCATAGACATATACAAAAACACACATTCGACAGATACACAAGTTATTAAAAAAACGTATCTGGCTTTGTCTTCACACTTTTTTTTAAATGTCTGGAAAAAAAACTTTTTAAATAAATGTTTATTTTTATAGAAAAGCGCCCGCTCGCTATCGCTTCTCAAAGTAATATATATTCACTACTTGAAATCTTTAAAACAAAATTTTTAAAGGAACATTTCATTCATAAATTGACTTGTTATAGTTAAAGAAAATTTTACAAATAGATGTCAACTTGTTGTAGGCCAAATAAAATGCAAATTTAAAACACTTTTTTTACACTATATAAAACGATATTCCTAAACAGAACTATTTTTAATATGAAAATCAAAACAATCCTTGAATAACAAAAAAAAAAAGAGGACAGTTAATTAATGAAATAATTTTTTAAAAATCAATATGAAAAGTGATGTTTCCTAGAAGTAGATAATATATAATACAGCTCTTGAGCTTTTAGGGGGTAAATTGCTCTCTCGAGTAGTTTGTAACACCTTGATACTTACCGGACGCAGGGATC